ATCTCCTTCATCTTCCTGTGGAAGAATCTCAAGATACCCACCTTAATCAATGTTACACTACTGCAATTACCATCCATAAATATTCTACTGACAACACTGTCCTATTGATACTTCTGTTAGTGTTGTCACAAAATGCAGTCCATCACTATATTTGGTGAATTCTCCCTAAATCTATCATCATTTGTTTTCTATCATGATTGTAATTCTGGGGGGTAGGAGAATAGGGTAGTGTATTAGTTACTTTTCTGTTGCTGGGATAGAAACACCATGACTAAGGGAACTTATAAAATGAAGTGTTGATTTAGCTTACGGTTCAAAAGGGGCAAGACTATCATGGTGAGGAGGCATGGTGGCAGATGTGGCTGGAGTAGGAGCAGAGGCTAAGCGCTCACATCTTTAAGCAGGCATGGGAAGCAGAGAGTGACTGGAGATTGAGGAAAGCTTAAGAACTCTCTAAGCCTGGCCCCAGTGAGGTGCTTCCTCCAGCATGGCCACACCTCTAAGACCTCCCAAACAGCACACCAACTGGGGACAAAATGTCCAAATACTGGGAGGCTGTGAGGGACACTCTCCTTCAAACCAGCACAGGTGGAGAGTGAGGTCAGGCAGGCCTTCCTGAAAGCTGAAAGTTAGCATATGAAAAGAACAATCTGGCAAAGAAGAAAGCTGAGAGCTGCCCCCCCCCACCTGTCACTCTTGTAACATCTGATGGTGACCTATGGGTCATTATTACAGTAAGAAGCACCTCCTGTGGAGATTTAAGATACTTACTAGACACGCCCTGGATGATGGTGTGTGTAAAACTGCATTTAGCAGGAGGGTAAGAAAGCCCACAGTACAAAAATGACCCAAGTGTCATGTCATTTTATATAAAATCCCCATCTCTTTGTCCAGCAGGCCTTTTGAGTTTCTGAACTTTTTCCTTGCTTTGACCTGCTTCCTTGATTAGGTATGTACTCTTTTTTAAAATATACTTTTTACTTATTATTTCTATGTTTTATTTGTGTATTGCCTACTTGTGTGTGAGTACACCTATGTTGTGCAATGCCCTCAGAAGACAGAAGGTGTTGGACTGCCTGGAACTGGAGTTACAGATGGTTGTTAGCCAACCATGTGGGTGTTGGGAATCCAGTCTGGTCCTCTGAAAGAGTAGCCAGTGCTCTTAACTGCTGAGCCATCTCTCCAGGCCCTATACTCTCTCTTAATAAACTGTTCCTGCTTCTGCTGCAACTGTGTGTGTGTGTCTGTTCAATTCTTTGCTCATTAACACAAGAACCTGAAACTTCCAGCAAATGCCCTCTGAACCCTGGCATCTACCAATACCACTGCCTCTTCTGTTTCTTATTCACACTGGCCATTTTTCACAGCCTTCTCGTGGTCTTGGACTTCTTACTTGTCTGACCTCCAATACCTTTTCTTCATTGTCCTGAGCAAAATTTTCTTCTAAGTAACTTCAAATTTTTATGTCTCACATTCTTGCAATTTTGGAATTTAAGAGACTTTGCTCTTTTTTTGACACAGGGTGTCCCTGTAGTCCCAGCTGGCCTGGATTCACTATGGAGACCCGGCTAGCCTTGAACTCACAGAGATCCATCTACCTCTGCCTCCCAAGTGCTGGGATTAAAGGCATGCACCATCATGCCAGGCCTTGAGGCATTGCTCTTTTTATACTACTTAAAGTCTCTCTCTGGCCTAGAATCACTCTTGTGGCAATCAGGTTCAATAGAACTAGCACAAAAGTTGCAAAAATACTGTCTTGTATTTGATATGGGTTTTGTCTCGACAAACTGTATGATCTTGGTCAAATCACGTAATATTTCAGTTTCTTTTTCTATGTTTCTCCATTTCTTTTCTTTCGCCTCCACCTTTCTTTAAACTTAAGCTATACTTAAGCTATATATATGCTGTGTGTGCATGACTGTGGAGGTCAGAAGAGGGTATTTGGAGCCCCTGGAGATGGAATTAGAGGTAGTTGTGAACTGCCCAATGTGGGTGGGGAGAACCAAGCTTGAGTCTTCAGGAAAAGCAGTAAGTGCTCTAAACTGCTGAACCATCTCTTCAGCCCCCCAAGCTACACTTATTTAATCAGTCTGAATGTTTATAGGTATCATTTCCTGTCTCTGAAACTTGATGAGATCTTTTTTTTTTTTTTTCCTTTTGAAGAGTTCTGCTTATAGGCTCAGCTGGCCTGGAAATTGCTATGTAGATCAGGTTGGTCTCAGTCTCACAGGGATCCTCCTGCTTAGGCCTCCAGAGTGCAGGGATTAAAGGTCTGTTTGATCACACCTGGGTCACTTTTCTTGTTTTTAATTCCTATCTTTTTAAGGTCATTTTAGTGTTTCATGCACTCTGTATATTTTTAAAGCTTGCTAGTGAAATGGAGACAACCAGCAGTATGGAGGTGGTCTTAGAGACCGGACATGTAGTCTTGTATATAAAAGCCTTGCTATTTTCAGTGGTGGTTGTGGTGGCCGTCGAAATGCACGTGTGGCTCCAGGACACCCCTCCCCCACATGTTGCTCATTTTAGATAAGAGGTTGGGGGTCTCATACCGAGTTAAGGTACACTATGAAACGTGTACCTTGTTTGATTTTCTCCCATTGAGCTCTAAAGGGACTATGCTTCCTTTTCTAAGAACTTCAATCCTTGTACTGATCTAGGTAGGTATATTTTATGTCTAGGAACCATATTTTCGTTTGTTCTTTTTTTGAGATAGGGGCTTCCTGTAGCCCCACCCAGTCTGGAACTCACTATGTAGACTGGGCTGGCCTTGAACTCAGAGATTCCCTGGCTCTGCCTCTGGAGTGCTGAGACTAAAGGTAAGCGCCACCATGCCCAGTGGAACCATATTTTTGTTTGTGATAAACTGAAGAAATAGAAAACCCTGGGGCTTTTAGTCTCTTTCATATTATGGAGACATAATTCAGGCAGCAAAATGATCCTTTATAACAATACAGAAGAGGGAAAGAACAGCATTTATCACCCAGAAATCAGTAACAGAGCTACATGCTCATATGATGTATAAATGGGACTTGGAAATCTGGACAGCAGTGTCCTGTGTCATTCATGCCTTATAAAGTGGAGCAGAGGGGGAACAGGAACTCTAATCCACTCTAGAGGTAAGGGCTTCATCTGACAATCTTCTATGTATCTGGAGAGTCCCAAGCTGACTCCTCGAGATTAGTCATATCTCATATATACATGTTATTTGACCCAACACCTTACAGCTATTGCTGCTTAATTAAGTTTGGAGACTGGCTTTAATCTCTGTAAAGTTTCATCTCTCTTTTTGAGAATCTCCCTATAACCCTGGCTGGCTTGGAGCTCACTATGTAGAAACAGGCTAGCCTCGAACTCACAGAGATCTGCCTGCCTTTGCCTCCCAAGTGGTGGGATTAAACGTTTGTACCACCACGGCTGGTGATCAGGCCCCGTTTTTTTTTTTTTTTTTTTTTTTTTTTTTGAGACAGGGTCTCCCTGTAGGCCCAGCTGGCCTGGGATTCACTATATAGATGAGTCT